TAAACTCGGAGAGCTATCCAGCAAAAAGCATTAACGAGACAGAACAGCACACGAGCCAGCAGAGAGAGAAGACAGCCCTACCAGGAAGGCTGTCGGCCGGCAGGGCGGGAGTCTCTGTCAACTACAGACCCCCCCCCCTCTCTATTCAACTTAGACTCAGTCCTCGGTGAGTGAACATTAAGGTGACTTGGTCGTGTTTACATATGTTGTGTGATGATCAGGGGCAGTCAAGTTGTAGGGTTCTCGAATTCTTGGATGATGACTCTCTTTAACATTTTAATTGAATTGCTAAATTATGATACTTCATGTGAAATATAATTATGAATTTATTATTTAAATTGTGTTTAACTTTGTTCCCTAGAGCTTTGAGTTGAGGTGAGAAAGCCTCTGTGGTTACTGTTTTCATGGTTTAGAATGAGTACATGATAAAGATGGGAACTACTAATAATGATCTCTTGATAACATCCTTTGAGAATTTTGTGATACAGGCAAGTTCCATTCCTTGTCTTGTATGTAATGATCATGAATGGATGGTGGCAGCATTTCGTCTTCTACTATCTACTCTTCTACTTCTACTATCTACTCTTTTACTTCTACCTATCTACACCTCTCCCTCCAGCCTTCTCTAAACTCTCACTTTCAACTAATGACCCTTCTCGCTCCTCCCACCTCTCTGCCTCTCACCCCAAACCCTCACTAATTACTTCACTATTCATTTCTTTCCTTTCGTTTTCACTTATACGTTTGTGGCAATGATTCGGTATTCTAGAGTTCTCTCTAGAGTTTCGGGTAACTGATCAAGTGACGGCGCCTTGTAGTCTTAGCACCTAGGTAGTCAAATACCTAGGTTACAAGGTGTTGAACGAGAGAGGTTGCCTTAGGAACTCTGGAGGTGCTCTAGAATAGTTAGCTAACTGTGGACGGGATAACGGACTAGAGAGAGCTGTTTCCCCCGGCTTCGTTAGTTAACTGGGGGGTGGAATAATGGACAAGATAGAGCTATTTCCCCCACCCCCCGTTACACTGTAGCGAAGACCAACACGACAGTGACCTACAGTGAACCTCATGTTGATGACGGGACAGGAAGTGACAGGAAGCTACTGTAAGCCTATAACATGAGCCCCGTCCCAGAGCTGCTGTCTGCCACACTGCAGGGAATGACAGGTGCCTAACATTCCGTTTTAAAGTCAAAATAGTTCTTTGACAGCTAGGCTGTCATGTTGGTAGAATGGAAGTGTGAGTATGGTGAGTGTGTTGTGAGAGAGTGTGGGCGTGTGTTTGTGAGGGCGTGTGGGCGTGGTGAGTGTGTTGTGAGGGAGTGTGGGCGTGGTGAGTGTGTTGTGAGGGAGTGTGGGCAAGGTGAGTGTGTTGTGAGGGAGTGTGGGCAAGGTGAGTGTGTTTGTGAGGGAGTGTGGGCATGGTGTGTTGTGAGGGAGTGTGGGCATGGTGAGTGTGTTGTGAGGGAGTGTGGGCATGGTGAGTGTGTTGTGAGGGAGTGTAGGCATGGTGAGTGTGTTGTGAGGGAGTGTTGGCATGGTGAGTGTGTTTGTGAGGGAGTGTGGGCATGGTGAGTGTGTTGTGAGGGAGTGTGGGCATGGTGAGTGTTGTGAGGGAGTGTGGGCATGGTGAGTGTGTTGTGAAGGAGTGTGGGCATGGTGAGTGTTGTGAGGGAGTGTGGGCATGGTGAGTGTGTTGTGAGGGAGTGTGGGCATGGTGAGTGTGTTGTGAGGGAGTGTGGGCATGGTGAGTGTGTTGTGAAGGAGTGTAGGCATGGTGAGTGTTGTGAGGGAGTGTGGGCATGGTGAGTGTTGTGAGGGAGTGTGGGCATGGTGAGTGTGTTTGTGAGGGAGTGTGGGCATGGTGAGTGTGTTGTGAAGGAGTGTGGGCATGGTGAGTGTGTTGTGAGGGAGTGTGGGCATGGTGAGTGTGTTTGTGAGGGAGTGTGGGCATGGTGAGTGTGTTGTGAAGGAGTGTAGGCATGGTGAGTGTGTTGTGAGGGAGTGTGGGCATGGTGAGTGTTGTGAGGGAGTGTGGGCATGGTGAGTGTGTTGTGAGGGAGTGTGGGCATGGTGAGTGTGTTGTGAAGGAGTGTAGGCATGGTGAGTGTGTTGTGAGGGAGTGTGGGCATGGTGAGTGTTGTGAGGGAGTGTGGGCATGGTGAGTGTGTTGTGAAGGAGTGTAGGCATGGTGAGTGTGTTGTGAAGGAGTGTGGGCATGGTGAGTGTTGTGAGGGAGTGTGGGCATGGTGAGTGTGTTGTGAGGGAGTGTGGGCATGGTGAGTGTGTTGTGAGGGAGTGTAGGCATGGTGAGTGTTGTGAGGGAGTGTGGGCATGGTGAGTGTGTTTGTGAGGGAGTGTGGGCATGGTGAGTGTGTTGTGAAGGAGTGTAGGCATGGTGAGTGTGTTGTGAGGGAGTGTGGGCATGGTGAGTGTTGTGAGGGAGTGTGGGGCATGGTGAGTGTGTTGTGAGGGAGTGTGGGCATGGTGAGTGTGTTTGTGAGGGAGTGTGGGCATGGTGAGTGAGGGGTGAGAGTGTGAGGACACGTGGGCACGTACAGTGAGGGGTGAGTGTGAGGACACGTGGGCATGTACAGTGAGGGGTGAGTGTGTGAGGACACGTGGGCATGTACAATGAGGGGGGTGAGCGTGGTGGCAGCTGAGCAGCACAGTACACCTGGTCTCAGTAAGCAGTACCAGCCGTCAGGTAACTAACTATCTGGGCTCCGGCTGTTACTCGCGTCTGCACAGCTTAAAATGAGCAAATGTGGTCGGAATGCTTCCGAGATAGCCTTGATGGAGGCAGTTCCGGCCATTAACATATCCCAGACGAATGACTGACATACCCGCTCAGCGAGGGAGGTGGTATAAAAATATCCCGCTCACCGTACTTCAAACACTACACGTGGGAACGAGTGCACTGCAAACTCTTCCCGAGTCAGTGTAATCAATTTTGACTTTAATATTAACAGTGCGCGATTTGCGTCTTCTGTGTCTTGTTCTATTTTTTTCATTATTTTCTAACTTTCCAATTTTCGTGTTTATGTGAAAACAGGTTATATTCATATGAATTTGTTATGTTTTCTCGCATGTATATACATTCATTTTATTCCTCCCATCATTCCCTTATATTCAAAAGTGACTAATAATCTTCGAAATTATCTTAAATATTCATTCACTTCCTGTTCAATGTCCGTCTCTCCAAATACTTCAGCTACGATTTCGGAAAACAATTGCCAATTGAACCAAAATTCCTAAGCTAAACTAGGCCTAACATTCACAAACTCATGAAGTATATTATTAATTTAAAAGATAATTACCATTATCTGTTTTACAACGTATGAAATAATTTGGGCGTGCGTGTTGGGGACACCAAGCAACTTGGCCGAGCATGGCTTGACGGAAACAGGACACATTAAACACAGGACTGTTCGCCAACGGAGTTTAAAACCTACCTAACCTTACCTAATCTAACATAAACCAACGTAACTTAACCCAATCGAGCTTAACAAAGCCTAGCCTAAGCATAGAGACAATCGAGCTTAACAAAGCGTAGCCTAAGCATAGAGACAATCGAGCTTAAAGCCTAGCTAAAGCATAGAGACAATCGAGCTTAACAAAGCCTAGCCTAAGCATAGAGACAATCGAGCTTAACAAAGCCTAGCCTAAGCATAGAGACAATCGAGCTTAACAAAGCCTAGCCAAAGTCAGTCAGAAAACGAGCTCTGTCGTCCCGATGGGCTTATGTGTTGGTACGTGTGTGTGTGTCATCTCAGTTTGTGTTTGCAAAGATTAAACTCCAGTTCTTGGGCCCCGCCACCAAAACACGTTACCGACAATTACACTATGAAACTATGGGTTTAAGTATTCATAATTTGTCACACCATTTCCCAAGTGATTAGAGTTTTACATTGATGACTGATTATCCCGAGTCAGGGCAGCTGGCACCTCACACGTGACTGACGTGTTTGTCAACAAATGTGGTCGTTTATCATGTAAGCAACCTGTCATCCACGCATGTTAGTACTTATAGCAATAGTGCTGGAAAAAAAATGGGCTCGAAAAAAAAAGTTTTGTACAATTAGTTCTGGCCATTAACATGGTCACGGCCCTTGTGGATTTGTTCAGTGGGTTTATTTGTATGGGTAGGTGATATAACCAGAGAGTAGGTTAATGTGTTAATTGTTGTCAGTCTATTTTATGTAAATACATTGGGAAACCCGACGGCCTTTAATCACCTTCCGTATGTTGCCATTCTGTGAGATGGCTCTCAGCTCGCTAGTTAGCTGTTAGGCTTAAGGCCTATCTTGAGAGGATTTCGGGGCTTAGCGTCCCCGCGGCCCGGTCCTCGACCAGACCTCCTTTTTGTTACACACCTTCAGGAAGCAGCCCGTAGCAGCTGTCTAACTCCCAGGTACCTATTTACTGCTAGGTAATGAGGCATCAGGGTGAAAGAAACTTTTTGCCCAATTGTCTTCGCCTCCATCGGGGATCGAACCCGGAACCTCAGGACTACGAATCCAAAGCACTGTCCACTCAGCTGTCAGGAGCCCAGCGTAGTGGAACTTTCATCGAGTTTCAGCATAAACCTATTGGTACACCTCAGGGGTCTAGTGTAGAAAGTAAGATAGTGGAGAGTAACTGTTCCTGAAGCACGGGAGATATGGCAGAGTAATCAAGTTACAGCCCCGCTCCTGTGCCAGGTTTAAGTCCACTACGGGCTCACCATAGCCCGTGCTACTTGGAACTTTTGTTCCGAGTAGCTGAATCTAAAACAACAAACAACAAAGCTGAGTGATCGCTGTGTTCGGAATGAACCTGGGTTCAGCGAGCACGACACTCCTGGCAATCACTGTGGCGCACAGTCTCGGCAACGTTTTGTGCTCCACATACATTAACAAAATTCTCCCGGATGCGGTAAATGTAAATCACAGAGATAACTAAAGGAGTTGGCTCAAGTTCGGGAAGAATGCCGTCACTTTGGCAAGAGTGTCACAGCTTCCTTCAGTTACCTCTTCCTCTCTGTAACTCATCTCTTGTTACAGGTCGGTGCTGTCGATGTGATCCTTCTAATGCATTTGAGACGTGGGTCGGCGCTGTAGTGCATTTGAGACGTGGGTCGGCGCTGTAATGCATTTGAGACGTGGGTCGGCGCTGTAGTGCATTTGAGACGTGGGTCGGCGCTGTAGTGCATTTGAGACGTGGGTCGGCGCTGTAGTGCATTTGAGACGTGGGTCGGCGCTGTAGTGCATTTGAGACGTGGGTCGGCGCTGTAGTGCATTTGAGACGTGGGTCGGCGCTGTAGTGCATGGGTGACGTGGGTCGGCGCTGTAGTACATGGGTGACGTGGGTCGGCGCTGTAGTGCATGGGTGACGTGGGTCGGCGCTGTAGTGCATGGGTGACGTGGGTCGGCGCTGTAGTGCATTTGAGACGTGGGTCGGCGCTGTAGTGCATTTGAGACGTGGGTCGGCACTGTAGTGCATGGGTGACGTGGGTCGGCACTGTAGTGCATGGGTGACGTGGGTCGGCACTGTAGTGCATGGGTGACGTGGGTCGGCGCTGTAGTGCATGGGTGACGTGGGTCGGCACTGTAGTGCATGGGTGACGTGGGTCGGCACTGTAGTGCATGGGTGACGTGGGTCGGCGCTGTAGTGCATGGGTGACGTGGGTCGGCGCTGTAGTTCATGGGTGACGTGGGTCGGCGCTGTAGTGCATTTGAGACGTGGGTCGGCGCTGTAGTGCATTTGAGACGTGGGTCGGCACTGTAGTGCATGGGTGACGTGGGTCGGCACTGTAGTGCATGGGTGACGTGGGTCGGCACTGTAGTGCATGGGTGACGTGGGTCGGCGCTGTAGTGCATGGGTGACGTGGGTCGGCGCTGTAGTGCATGGGTGACGTGGGTCGGCACTGTAGTGCATGGGTGACGTGGGTCCGCACTGTAGTGCATGGGTGACGTGGGTCGGCGCTGTAGTGCATGGGTGACGTGGGTCGGCGCTGTAGTACATGGGTGACGTGGGTCGGCGCTGTAGTGCATTTGAGACGTGGGTCGGCGCTGTAGTGCATTTGAGACGTGGGTCGGCACTGTAGTGCATGGGTGACGTGGGTCGGCACTGTAGTGCATGGGTGACGTGGGTCGGCACTGTAGTGCATGGGTGACGTGGGTCGGCGCTGTAGTACATGGGTGACGTGGGTCGGCGCTGTAGTGCATGGGTGACGTGGGTCGGCGCTGTAGTGCATGGGTGACGTGGGTCGGCGCTGTAGTGCATGGGTGACGTGGGTCGGCGCTGTAGTGCATTTGAGACGTGGGTCGGCACTGTAGTGCATGGGTGACGTGGGTCGGCGCTGTAGTGCATTTGAGACGTGGGTCGGCGCTGTAGTGCATTTGAGACTTGGGTCGGCACTGTAGTGCATGGGTGACGTGGGTCGGCGCTGTAGTGCATGGGTGACGTGGGTCGGCGCTGTAGTGCATGGGTGACGTGGGTCGGCGCTGTAGTGCATTTGAGACGTGGGTCGGCACTGTAGTGCATGGGTGACGTGGGTCGGCACTGTAGTGCATTTGAGACGTGGGTCGGCGCTGTAGTGCATGGGGAGACTAAGTTATGGGTCATTACTGGCATTAGTATATCAGTCATTAGACGTCCCAGACCTGCTGGTATGAGGTAGCTGCAGCTTTGCAATCACTTTATTAATTTAACTCTATGTCCTTGAGGATAGCCTCATAAGGCATACAAAGTATGCCAGTGCAGGTTATACTGAACGCATATACGTGTATGACTAACCATCCTGCGAGATGAGGATTCTTAGTCTAGTTGCAAAATATATAAGTATTCGTATATAGTATAGGGTAGCAACGTGACCATGTAAAAGTATGTTCATAAACCTATAAATGGGACTCATGTTTCATTACAAATATGATACATGACAACGAACTTAATATAACGTAAAAACCTCCGTAATAAATGGTCATATGATCGTACTCGTGTTTCGTTAAGTCTGACACCCCGTTTTCTTTCTTCAATCACCTTAAGCACATCCTCTTACCTGTCAACTTGCCGTATCACGATAACCCATTTTCTTCTAAGACCGTCTCTCGACCTACATTTTGGAGCGATCTCTTGAATCCATCACCTTTATCTAATGCAACATTCATACAACCCCTTCCTTTGCCGTCCTCTAACATGTTTCAGTTGAAAATATTGACTTTGTGATTATTTTTTATACTTTAATCAACCTGGTTATTATTTTTAGACTTGTCAACCTGGTTAGTTTAATTCATTCAACTTCAATCAGTTTTTACATAACACTACCTTAACCTAAGCTAGGCCTAAATAGGCAATAAGCTATAATGTATTATTCTACTAATTTAGGTTTGAGAAATGTTAACGTGTTTTACAAATTTTGTGTAACTGATCCGTGTGCTACATATATTGTAGTAGTGAACGGCGAGGCTGCCTCCCATACGTACGGCTGAACTAGCCAACAACAATAATATTTACCACTACAATAGTCACCCAAATCCCCCCCCCCCCCCCCACCTTCCCCTTTCCTGTACTCGGTGTTCATCTATTCCTCTCCACAACTCCGAGCAGGAGCATCAATTTCTCAGGTTTAATTATAATGAATCAATTTTCTCAGGTCGTACTGAAGCCTTCTGTCCACCGTTCAACCCCCCCCCCCCCCTCACCCTCGAGGGGTCAGGTGGGATCAGAGGGCGGGGGGGGGGGTGACGGAGGGCGCGCGCCGGGGATGAGAAAATTGAGCATGGCAAGTCAAGGGAAAAAATGGAACAAGAGGGACAAGGAGGACGATGAAAGAACAGGGCGGGGCCATTTGTGAGAGAGAGAGTGCAGACTTAAGTCATGCCTGGGCGCGTACAGGAGGATGGATGAGGAGGATGGTGGGAGGTCGCGTGGGGGGTAAGAGTAATAGTAAAGAGTGCAAGCAGCAGTGGACGGTATATACGAGTGGGTGCTAGAGTGCTTGGTACTCACATGCGCTGCGCGTCAAGCGGCAGGTGGCGAGGCACGCGCGTGAGGCCACGGTGTCCACAGCTCACGGTCAGCCCTGAGCACGTGCACTCGGGCGGGCACGTGCTGGAGTCGCCGATGCCCTGAGCGGCAGCCACGAGGGCAATAAGCAGCCCCAGACTCCACCAGGACGCCGGCGGCATCGTGTGTGGAGTGGCAGCAGCAGCAGCAAGGGGCGGGACCCGTGTGCCAAGGTTCACTATGGTATCCACCCACAGCACTGTTACGTACACTCAACACTATACCTACAAATTCTTCTATTATAGTAATCGAACGGGGTTTGTTTATAGTTTAAAAAGATACGTATAATAACCATTACTTTACAAAAATATGTATAATTATGCAAATGGGTCTAATAGATATATGTATGTATGTAATTCGTTACATAACAATGCTAAAGCTAACCAAAAAAAGAAAAAAAATAAGGCGATAAGCAAGCCCCGTTGAACTTCGAAATGTTTTTGTAAAGTTTAATGTGCATGTGTCACTGCACAGAGTCATCACTGTGGCAGAAATCCAGCAATTAGCATGAGGCGCAGAGCCAGGGGTTGGGCGGCGGCCCTGGTCTAAGAGCAGCAACAAGAGCCTCACCCAGACCAGCGAGGGCCGCCGACAAGAGAGAGAGAGAGAGCGTCCGGTCTCACCAGGACCACGACTCTCACTGAGCACTACGCTACTACTGCACCTCGGCTCTCCCCCCCGCCTGGCTGCTGCTGCTCCCTGCTCCTACCACCACTTCCACCCTCACACTAACCTGCTCTATGGCTCTCACAGCTCGCTAGTTAGCTCTTGGCCCTATCAACCGCGGCACGGTTATTAGGGGGCCACCAAATCAGGATCTGCGGGTTGGTACAAGAATGTTCAACCAACTACGAACCACTTAGTTTGATGAAAGGGAGCAGTAGAGCAACAGAAGTACACTTACATCGCATCAGGCTTGGATACCTATGTGAATGGGAAATAGGCTTACAGGTTCCGGAAGATGAGAGGAAATGTCAGCACTGTGGAGAAATGCTCGACAGACCACTGGAACATTATCTAACACAGTGCACAGTTACAAACCCATTAAGGTTTCACTTTACATTCAACAGAGCAGAAGAATTTGTTAAACACATGGGACAAAATCTTACTGAAGCGACCATACGAGTCATAAATACTCATACTCCGCCCAAGTAAAACTGAAACAAGCAACACTTAGTGGGCCAGCCAGAGGCTTAGGGCCCACGCAGGAATATCCCTGCAAAAAAAAAAGAAAACACCAAGGCTGAAGAAGTTATACGCAAGTGGAGTGAAATGAAGTACAGATAGCTTGAGGAAATTTATAAAGAAGCCGGAAATGAATTAGATCAAATCTGCACTGATGGGTTATCTAATCCTGTCAATGGCAGGGCTGGTGCAGCATACACTGTAATTAGGAATAATGCTTTTCAACGCGGAAATGAAGAAAAAGCACTTATTGAGAACTATGCCTCTTCATTTTATCCATTTATTTATTTTTTATACAAGATGGTACATTTGATTTATGTGAGTACATAGCATTGATGTCTTACATTCTTGCAAAGCAAAGGGTTTCGGCCAGGTCCTTAATCTAACAAGTAATTGTAAGTAGGTAGTTTGTAGCAAAATTTGAAGAATATTAACAGATGAATTCATTTCATTTACTCAGAAATGTGTTCAATTTCTGAAGAGAGGAATTAATTTCATTTCTTCAACGCAAGCAGAGCTAACTGCCATTGTATCGCATCAAGATTCCTTGAACGAAACACTAATGGTGCAGTGAACGTGTTGGCTGCTGAAGGTGACCATATTGAATACTTCATACCCAAGACTCTTCTACAAATTAGAGATATCATCAGGCAATATCACCGTGACAAGGTAACTGAGGAAAGGAGGATAGAAGAACAATTCAGTGTATCTGAATTGTCCAATCAATTGTGATTGGGATTGCAGCTGGCAATCCCAATCATATTGGGATTGCAGCTGGCAATCCCAATCATTATATGGACCAAGATGAGGTAGCCGCGGGAGAGAATCAGTAATAGCAAGAATCCATCTTGGATACACATATCCATGGAGATACGGAATGGAAACAACAGTTGAACAGAGGAGTTGCAGAATCTGTGGTGAGATAGATGGACACCGCCTTGACCACTACCTGACAAAATGTGAGCATTTAAGAGTTATTAGAAATACGTGTAGAATAATAAACCCCACATTATTTGAGTTAGGAAAATGCTATTTATCAAAAATAGATACTGTTCTTAAAAGATTCCCCCATTTTGCACCCGCAAGATAACGTAAGATTTTAAGGGTTGACAGATGTTAATATTCTTGTTTGAGAAACTGTTCACTTGAGACAGTTAAGCAAGTCCCCCAGCTGTGTCTTGGTACAAGTGACAGGATGAACAACCCAGCGGGTTTTCTTCCTATTGGGGGGTGTTGTACATGCTACTATGGCGGTGTGTCCACTCACAGGATGAGTGACGCTGCCCAATACTGTCACTATGGCGGTGTGTCCACTCACAGGATGAGTGGCGCTGCCCAATACTGTCACTATGGCGGTATGTCCACTCACAGGATGTGTGACGCTGCCCAATAAACTCGCCCCTCGGGGCAAAATTAAAAAAAAATAGTGATGCAGCAGGATCTTCCTCCCTTTCTGCAGAAATGAGTAGGGTGCACTCGCATGTTTACGTTCCGCCATAGGCTATGCCGCATCAGTGTCATGCAATTACGACTTGCATAACATACAAGTCGTAAGCATACAAAACGAAGTCATGGCAATAATGCTTTGAGTACCATGAACTACCGAAACATGATCTAAGACAAGAACTAGGTTTTTCTTGCATTAAAAATATGATAAAATATATAAATACTAGGATTGCTATTAAATAAGATTGTCAGATTCTCACTACAATAACATTGAAAAGGAAACTTTGAGGTCTGCACTAATTATAGAAGGAAAAACAACTCAAAGTAGAAAGACTGATCATAATGCTTTCTTGAAGAACTCCACATGAACATGAGTTGATGCCTGTAAGGATGCCTGACTGAAGAACGTCAGGAGTTTAATTTTTTACACAAATGCTAGAAGCCTAGTAAATAAATTTGATGCATTGTGTGTATTCGGCCATACGGGCAAACGGCCAAAAGCGACGTTCTTTTTAAGAGGACAGGTAGCCCGATATCATTAGCATGAGTGAAACATAGGGACGAGAGGACATAATAGAAGGGGAATTCCATCTCTTAGGATACCATCCACCCTTCAGAAAGGACAGAACAACAAGAGCGGGGTGGAGTAATGCTGTATATGAAAGAGGACCTGAATGCAACCACCAATGAGGAATTGAACCCTATGCGATCCTCAGAGTCTATATGGTGCATCATCCTAGCTCAAGTTGGTAGCAAACTGACAGTGGGAGTATTCTATTGGGCTGACAGCAGCAGCAGAGGCAGTTGCTGATCTGCATAATGTGATCATTCCGGCATCAGAAACCCAAGCCGTTATAATAAAGGGACTTTAACCACGAGACCATAGACGGTAAATCTAACATTAAAAGCATATGGAGAACAATTTCTTGACCAAGTACAGGACTCCTTTCTGA